TGGCAAGACCAAAGATACAATAAAGGATTTTAGAAATACTTTTGCTTCATACAGATAAGAACAGACCAACGGACGGTCAGTCAATTGAAGACCCTCTTGGTCTAAGAGGGTCTTCAGTTGACTGACAAATCGATGGCCTGATGTCTGTGAGACCAGATGCAGGAGGCAGAAATAAAAGCTGGGTTGTAGGAGTAAAAAACTCTTTAATATACATTTTTTCAATCTTCTTAAACCTTCAGTAATCTTTACACAAGTCAACTGAAGTTGAATGGTCTTGAAATAGAACATAAAAAAATACATAAAATAAAACAACACTTTCTGTTTCTCATCTGCTACTGCAGCATTCCATAAAGTCTGACCCTGAAAACCTCAGCAGCAGATCAGTACTGACTGAAACTCTGACCCTGTTCCAGCAAAAATGGCTGAGGACTACACCTAAGTCAAGGTTTCAGGGGCAGCAGTTGAAAACTAGACCATGGTCTACATGTTCTGAACGTGGTGGTTTAGCTCTGCACTGATATCTTTAGGTTCAAACGGTGCTGTTTGATAACTTGACCTGGGTTTTTATATGCTAGCTTTGGTAGATGAGGACCACACAGTTGTCTTTATGTTCCAGGGATGGTGGTTGAGAACTGAACCATGGTCTAAATTRCAGATGCAGTGGTTGACAACTTGACTGTGGTCTTAACAGTCCAGGGGAGCTAGTTGACAACTTGACCGCGGTCTTTATGTTACAGCAGCGGCCTGTGGAAAAAATTGTGGACCTGCTGGGCGCTTGCCTGGCCCACTATCGATTCCAACTTACTAAGATCTGCATTACAGAGTTGCTGGATGCTGGAGAACTCCTGTAGAAGAGACAAAGCTTTTACCCTGCCAACCCCGGGGATGTGCTGCACAAGAGTCAGTACCCTTGGTTCCATCAGCCGACTTGAAGTCCTCCATCTGAAGGGGTTTTCTCTGCCCTCCCTGTAGATCTGGAGACAAGGAGAGATCATGTTAAAATTAGCTTCAATGCACATCTGAATGCAGCACTGGTTTGTATATTATCCCGAGACAAACTTTTCATCTTAGGTGCTTGATGCTGGAAATACTTACGATTTGAGCAATGAGCAGTGACGCCTCCATCTGTCCACCGACCGGCAGCAGAGACAGACCCAAATCAAACACCACAAACTTATGAAGAGCAGAGAAGTACTGTTTGGTGAGTCTGGTCTTCTCCACCAACACCAGCTCCTGGAAACGGCTGCAGGCCTAGAACACACAAGGAGAACAGTTCACATCAAGGAGAGCAGGACACAGAAGCTTCCACACAGCTGCACTGCTGCCAGTTTCACATACATTTCTATAACAAACCAGCTTCCTCTTGTAGCTGTTTCCAGCTATGATGTCGCTCTCAGACACATACAGGATGCTCGTTTTGTTGGGAAGGTGGAAATCTGCCAAACCAAGCCCATCTTCAAACAGGATATTTACATCTCCATCTGCAGGAAAGGTCAGTGTTAGTGCTGAGTCAGCATTGAGTGGACTTACAGACTACTGTAATAGCTTGTTCACCTGCCTGAACTAGAAACAGCTGAGTAAACTTCAGCTTGTCCAAAACTCCAGTTTTAAGAAACTGGAGTTTTGTTTGGTTTGACAGTCCAAAACTGTCAAAAACCGTTCGTACGCACAGATTTGTTCTTAAGTTGTGCGTACGAGTGATTTAGGAGAATTTGTGGCATTCACCAATGTTTTCGTATTCTAAGA